TTTTTTTTTTTTTCCATTATCTCTTCTTCTTCACCACCCTCTTCCTTCACTGTTACCTCCCACGTCCACCCTGATCTCCCCCACCCCATGCTCACCATTTTTGTCACCCCTCACATATTCACCTCACCTTCTTCCAGCCCCATTGTTTACATCCATTACCATCCTAACCAATTTGTGCCTCACCGTTTTGATTTTTGTTTGTTGTCTAGATTTTGGAGATCTTTAGGTTTTTTGGTTTAATTTTGCTTGGGTTTCGGAGATATGTGTAGAAGAGAAGTGAAGAGGTAGTTGAATTTAAGAGATTTTTTATTAGAATGGTTGGGTTGTTTTCAATTTTAATTTTAGGAAAAAAAAAAAAAAAAAAAAGGCTCCATTTGGATAACCGGTTTTTTGCATAGCTGAACCGAAAATCTAGGTTTCTCCCTTATTATAACTCAAAATCGAACCAAATTTTCGGGTACCTGGTTTCTCTAGTTCGGTTCAGTTTGGTTACCATTTCCAATTTGTATTTCGTGTATTTTTTAACACTTCTAGGCTCATCTTACATTTTTTTAAGTTCCACTTTTTTTTTTTTAAAATAAGTTTAACCTTAATGAAAATTATAAAAAGTGATATTATAAGTTTTAAATATGGTCATAGTCTATTTTATATTTGTTTAATCTTTAATATTAAATTTTTACCTAACTTCAACTCTAAATTTTCATAATCATTAAAACCTTTTACTTTATGTCAAATATTTTTATTGATAGTTCTAAAAACAAAAAAAGTAAGTCCGAAATATAAAATTGGACAAAAGGGAAAACCTAATTAAGTAGAGTGGTGTTATTTTAGCCTCGTTAATTCTCTGTGTAGACCCCATTTTAAGTAAAATTGATTTTGAAAAAGTAATTTTTAAAATTATTATAACTTATTCCAAGCTTATTCAGTCTCCCTTAACCTTCCTTTTCTAAAACTCTATCTTCATCTAGCATGCATTTTGTTGATATGAAAATTCGCACCAACCAGAGTGATCCGATTGACCCTGACAAAATTGAAACGGATGTGTGCGTGATTTAATGAAAATGAACAATTGAACAATTAAAGAGAAAATACAAGTAATGACAAGAGGCAATATTTAAAATGATTCGGCAAGTTTAAATCTTAAGCTTATGGCCACTATTTCTCTTATTGAATGAGAATTACAAATGATGAATCTTTTCCTAGAATAATTGCCCAACCCCTATCAAAACCAGTTGCAATTGGTTATATAGCACCCATTTATATGATAGAGTTGAGGTAAGATTCAAATACGTAAAATTAGGAAGTTGCATGATCTTCGACTACCTTAGTTAGAATCTAAATCAATTTGAATAGTTTCCTTCCAAATTGAGCAAATCTAAATATCTTCACTCCTAATCAGGGGCGGATTCAGCCCTTTGAGGGTAGGCCCAGATTTGAAAAAAAAATTATTAATATACAAGCCATAAAAAATTGTTAATTAACATATATACCTAGACCCACCTTCAGATTAAAAAAAAAAAAATAAGAATTATTATACATACTGTATATCTAGGTCTACAAAAAAACTTATTATATATATATATATTCTAAGCCCACATCATATTAAAAGTTTAAAACTCTCTTCAGTGTTTTTCTACACAGCTTTACCTATTTTTTTATGATTTTATCCCCAAATTCTTTACTCTCTTTTTCTTTTTCTCATGTTATTCGCTCTTAAAATTTTTGAAGACTGAAATTATTAAATTTTCATTACTCAAGGTGTCATAATTAGCTCCATTTTCTATTTTATCGATTTTATGTATATGCATTGTTCATTTCAATTTAGTTTATTTAAGGATTAAATCATTTTTTTTTCTTTTTGAGGTTTTTTATTCTAATTTGAGAGAAAAATATATTAATCTTGTGAGTTTATTTTGTATTTTCTGTCTAAGAATGGATCTGCTTTCTCAAATTAAAACCTTAACTATATTTTAAAGGACGTTATTCTCTACCCTTCACTTTTCTACATTTTAAACGTCACCGTTCAGTTGTTCAAAATTATTAAAGAAATTTGAGTTATTATCTATGTTTATACTAAAAAAATTTCCCATTTTTTATTAATTCATATTAAAAGTCAACGTAACGTTGACTTGATTTAAGTTTTAGTTGACTTTAGCTTAATTAAGCTAAGTTTGATCAATGCTATGAAAATTTATATTGTAATATTTGAAAGCCAAAAATAAAAATATTAAAAGAAGGTTTTGTTCAATGTTTACTCAACACTTTTACTCAAAATTTTGCTTCTCATAGATTTATTCAAGTAAGAAAATATTGTGTTATTATATATTCTTTTTTCTTAGGTTCTTAATATTGTATTATTTTTTTAATTAAGGTTTAGTGATTTTTTAATATTTTCATTAATTATTTAGCAAATAATGGCGGAGCCGCGGAGGCCCCCACTTGACAAAAATCTTAGATCCACCATTGCTCATAATAGGAAGTTATTCTCTCCGGATTTCCGGCACAACACTTTATCTTCCTATTGACATAGGAAATGTGTATTGCCATCGCTATTAACTGCAACTTCTTCAACACGACAAAGATCTTGGTGGGTTAAAGCTTCAATTTTTCGTTATTTTTTTAAACTCCAAAGCTTGAACGGTGGGTGTCATTGTTGAACTAATTTTCTCACATAGGTTTAGGATAGGTTTATTATATATTCAGCTTTGCCTGCTTTAAAGAATATGATCCACAAAGTTTTTTGACCCACTTTAAGTGAGATTCCCATGTGCTTTGGTAAAATGCTTAGGCGCTGAAAGATGAACCTCAATAAAATGTGGACTTAGGTTCATTATTTAGATTTTCGTTGCTCAAAAACAATTAATGCAGGAAACATCATTCCAAATGTAGATGAAATATGAGATTGACAACTTTTGGTTTATTAATCTGGATAGGGTATTTGTAAGAATTTTTAAACATCGTTTTGTTGTTGATGTCATCAGGTCGAACCGGTCCGACCTCCTGAACCGTGACCCAATCGCCTGAATGGGTCACTTCCTGGTTCAGGTTTCAGAACATTGCTGTCTACTACACAATGATAGCATGCATGTTAATTAGTTTAGATAAGTTGATTTAATTAGTGCGAATGGGAATGATTTAGATAGAAAAGCAAGCCCTCCACTGTCATAATTCTATATAAAGTTAAAGAAAAGATTATCTTCAAAAAAAATACAATCGTTTACAATCTCTTTTCACCAACTTTTTCTCACGACCCTGTCGTATTAGCTTACGATTGGTCAACTCACAATTTACTAAATGAGACATATTTACAAGCTGACCAATCGCTAATTACCATATCATGATTGTGATAGAAAGTTTATGAGAAGAGATTGTAAACGTAATATTTCTCTAACTTTAATTATATAAAAAGGACCAGGATCTCTGAAAATATTCATTTTCATTTTCTCTTTGTTGTAAAGCAAGCCTCATATCGTATAAAGTTCAAGAAAAGCCAACCCACCACCGTCGTAAAATTTTAAGATAATCGTTAAAGCTAATAGCATTATTGGTGTTGAAAATTTATTTAAAATCTTTTAAAAATTATTGGTCACATGTCGTTTGAATTTTTCTTGCTAATTAGCCCCACACTCACCGCCATCAATAAAACAAAACAAAAGAAAAGTTGCCTGTAAGTGGTACTAATGATGCGCTGTCGTTTTTTATTACCAAGAAATGAGGGTGACTACTGTTAAACACAATAAAACAAAACAAAAGATAACAGAGGCGTGCGTTGGAATTCAATTCTCCCGCACATGGTTGTCTTCCCGGCAAAAGAAACTACTGTGCAAGCTAAAGACTCTTTGAACACTGGAGAAGAGATCTGACGAATGAAATTGTTTAATTTTGTGTTTCTTTGTGTAGAAATGAACGGCTGGGATAAGTAATCACATGGATTACCACTTGTAGCCATAAAAAGGAATTACTCTAATAAAATCAGTAAGTTAAAGAAACATTGAAGAAGCTTTGTTTGCAAATACTCTATCCCTGCCATGGGCTTACTCCTCACCCAAAAGGCTTTATTGAGTGAGAGGATTATCCACTCTTATAAACATATTGACTTGAACATACCTAGTTGATATAAGATCTTCAACACTCGCCCTTACGGTCAAGCCCATATGGTCTACTTGCCTATAAATGGAGGTAGTTTGGTAGCTCATTCAATCATTTAGCTCAAATGGGATTGGCTTTGATACCACTTGTTGAAGTTGGGCCTAACTCCTCACTCAAAAGATCTTATTGAGTGGAAGGATTATCCACTCTTATAAACTCATTGGCTTGAGCGTGCCTAGTCGATATGAGATCTCCAACACCATATACATCAATTGAGTATATGCAAAAATATATTGATCACCTATTCTATATAAAGTTAATCAATTTATGAGATACTGTCTACTACACGATTATAGCATGCATATTGATCAGTTCAGATAAGTTGATTTAATTAGTGCGAATGGAAATGATTTAGATAGAAAAGCAAGCCCTCCACCGTTGTAATTCTATATAAAGTTGAAGAAAATATTATCTTCGGAAAAAATATTATCGTTTATAATCTATTCTCACCAACTTTTTCTTACAACTCTATTGTATCAGTTCGCGATTGGTTAACTAACAAATTACTAAGCGAGACTTATTTATGAGTTGATCAATCGCTAATTGTTACATTATAATTGTGATAGGAAATTTATGAGAAGAGATCGTAGATGTAATATTCCTTTTATCTTCAATTATATAAAGAGGACCAGGATCTCTGAAAATATTCATTTTTAATTTTCTCTTTGTTGTAAAGCAAGCCTTATATCGTATAAAGTTCAAGAAAAGCCAACCCACCACAGTTATTTATGTAAAGTTAAAGAAAATTTTGTCACTTGTATCAATCCCTTAATACATTCAGATGAAGCTTTTCCGATTATTACAAATATAAAATCGAGACTGAAATCTTCTTACTGAATAAACCCAAAAAGGAAACAAAAATTTAAATTTGATTTATCGTTGAATGAGTATTAGTATCTGTTCTCCTTTGGAGGTTAACTAACGAGTAGTAAGCTCCTGTGGATCCTTTGGCCAACAAAGAATGTTGGTTCCCTTTCTCGATGACCTGCCCTTTGTCTAATACAGCAATGAGATCACAATTTTGTATAGTACTTAATCTATGTGCTACCACTACAGTGGTTCTTCCAATCATCATGTGCTCAAGCGCATCTTGCACTACTTTCTCCGATTGACTATCGAGCGCACTAGTTGCTTCATCTAATAGTAATACTGTAGCTTTTTTCAGTATTGCTCGAGCTAGCGCAATACGTTGCTTTTGACCTCCTGATAATTGTACTCCTCTTTCCCCACACCGTGTGTCATATCCGTCATTCAATCCAGCTATGAAATCATGAGCATTGGCGGCCTTAGCTGCCTCAATTATCTCAAACTCATCTATGTTGTCATCTACACCATAAATAATGTTTTCCCTAATTGTACCAGCAAATAATGTAGGCTCTTGACTAACAAGTGCAATGTGCCTTCTCAATGATTTAAGATTGTATGATCTAATATCCCGGCCATCAATTTTTACTATACCCTTTGAAGGATCATAAAAACGTTCGATTAAACTAATAATCGTTGATTTCCCAGACCCACTTTGCCCTACCAATGCTATTGATTTTCCAGCTTCAATGTTGATAGAAAAGCCTTTGAAAATCATCACATCAGGTCTAGCAGGATATGCAAAATGTACATCTTGAAGTTCTATATGACCTGTTATTTTTTCAGCCTTGTAGCCTTCAGAATCATCAGGCTGAATTCTTGTATACCGCTCCAATATAGCGAAGACTAACCTTACAGCATCTGAGCCTCTGGCAAGATCTGTGGTGATGCTTCCAGCAGTAGCTATGAGATAGCCACTGCTCAGTAGGATCATGAAGGTCTGCAAAAAGCCCTCGGAAGTGATGTAGCCCTCTTTCAGGAGTTTGCCACCGTACCAAAAATCCAAAGCCCAAGTGCAAGATGTTAGGCTTTGTGAGAAGGCAAGGCCTATTCCAGAATACCGTGACTGTTTGACACTCTCCATTCTTGGTCCTTCCTGGGCCTTTCCTAGCATCTTCAGGATTTAAAAGTTGTTTGGGTTTGTTTGCAACAATTTCGGGTTTGTGGGAATATAGTATAATTTGAAAAGATTATATAATACTTCATTAATCCTAATTAGCACTAATTACCCTTAATCAATAATATGGCTATTTAGTTGACACTTTAAAACTTAGCCTTTTAATTAAATACAAACTTGAGATGGCCTTCAATAAACTGCCCCCAAACCTCTTGACTTTAATTTATCAATGGCAACTCCATCAAGAAGAATTTCACCTCCAAGTGGGTCATAAAACCTTTGTAAAGTGAAATTACTGTGGATTTCCCTGAGCCATTACCACCCACTACGTTCATTGTCTTTCCTGCTGGAATCTTTAGGCACAAGCCTTTGAAGATTATGGTTTCAGGCCTTGATGGGTATGCAAATTCTCCGTGCCTAAACTCACTTCACCTGAAGCATTCTCCAGGATTTGGCCTTCCAAGTTTTCTTAATCAATCTTGGGAATTCTTTTTATTACCTCCATTATACGCTTTCCTGTTGACTTTGCTTCAGATATGGAGTTGAGGTTAGATAAACCAGTTCTTAATGCCCTGATCAAGAACAACTTTTGAGTTATGGATGATAATTTTGTATAATTTCGTATTTTTCTGTAAGCCAAAAGGCAATACTTACTAGCCTCTAAACTCCAATGGCAATAGAGGCACCGACTGCATACACGGTTCCTCCTTGAGCACCATGGTACATGACTAATCTGTATCATATAAGCAATGAAAGACCAAATAGCATAAGTAATGTTTGCTGCTTCCAATGGCCCATCCTTTAGCCAAGCCTTGCTTTACCCCTAGGCCCCAAACTGACTAAGCCTTCTAGGGCCGACGAGAACTCGTTGATGTTTTGTTTCACCAACAAATGAATAAACAGTTCTTATAAAAGAGATTGCATGTTCCGTAGTTGTTCAGCCTTCTTGTACAATATCTAGGCATGGCAATGTTCCCGATTTCGGAACCATCCCACCCGTATATATAATAAAATTAAAATATATATATATATTATCACTTTTCACTAATATCTCTATTTTTACCTAATTACACAATTATCCTACCTATATAACCATATTTTCCCAATTTCCATCATCCTAAACAATTGAACAAAAACAAACTCTAACCCATATTTATGTATAATAATTATGTTTAATGATTAATTTAAGTGTTTGTCATGTAAACGAGAATTAACTATAGTGTTTGATAATGCTCAAATTAATTTATGTTTATTTAAATAACGGGGCGAGGACGGGCTTCCAACATTTCCCTTTGGGGCGGGGAGTGAAATTCTTGTCATCCCCGTAACGGGGATGGGGCGGGGGCGGGGAGTGATTTAGGGGGGGGATGGGTAAGGTGAATGAGATCCCTGCCCCGCCCCATTGCCATGCCTAATAATATCCCTCTAAACATTTTCCCAAATTTTATGAAATAAGGAAACTACCACAACAATCAATAAAGAAATCATTAATTTATCAAGTTTTTAAAATCCACCTTGGAAACAAACAAACTCGCTGGCACCAGATATGTAAACATTATCACTGAATTCTGCCACAACAGAATGAAATTTCAGTTATCCTTTTAGTTCAACATATGTAATTAGAAGAGAAGGAAAGCATGAACACCTTGCTAATGTCATGGTTGAACAACTTTAGGTTTCAGTTAACGCAGTGCCAAAATGTTCATCAACTTACCCATCACAAGCACCACATAGGAGCAGTGAAGCCGTCACAAACGGCTCCGATGAACCTCAGAGCCATCAACAACATATCCACACCGTTTGCTTGCATGAAAATGGACAGTACAAACCTCTTCTTTCTCTTCCCCTTGCCACCTTTTCTTTCTCCTCCCATTTTCACACAAAACCAAACAAACAAAGAAACAATACAGCTCTCTTCTCTTCTGCTATGGCTTACAAAATCTATACTATGTTAAGTGTTGGTTTTTAGAGCTAGAGAAACCAAGGAAAGAGGAACAAAGCAGACATGAGAGAGAGATGTAAAGAGAGAAAATCTGAACAGAAATTTGCTCTGTTTTTCATTCAAAACAGGGGTAGTTTTTACAAGAACTTGCTACTGTTCCACCTAAAGTTACAAATTAAAATTAAACCAAACACTCCAACTAATGCACGTACAAACATATCAAAATACATCATTTTATCAACCTAATTCACCTAAACACGTCACTAAAATATTTTCTAAAACAGTGACCAAAAACTGCAACTTCACCCACAACACCATTCAAACCGTGGCGCCAAAAACTTGCAACTCCCACCGTGTGTTAACTTCATCATTTCCAGCAAGATATCATCATCTTCAACACTCCTCCTTGATATCTTTGCTGGAAACACTAAGTTTGAGCTTTAACTCTTCAAACTTGGCTTTGGACAAACCTTGGTCATTATATCTGTAACTTGTTCTTCACTATTAAAGAGAACTCCTCCTCCATTGCAGCTTCTCCAAGCATCAGATTTGACTGCCTCATTGTAGCTTGTTGGTTCTAACTCAGCCACATTGCACCTCTCATAATTCCAGATATTGGCTTTGTACCTCTAACTGGAACTTCATCAACTTCATCTTAATTCACTTCTTCAATCTGACTTTTGGGCATTCTATCTTGCTGGAAGCTTGGCTTGACTTTAACCTAACTTTTTCCAAATTCCAAACAGCACATTCGTCCATCTTGACATCTCTATTGACTATGTTAGCTGAATGGTTTTAAAAAACAAACTTTCCCCACTCAACCGGGAAGCTTTTTCCTTGCATTCTAACTCTTTTAACTCATTCACATCACATTCTAATAACACATGCTGAGTTTTTAAAATGCAGAGAGTAATTCCTCTCAACCATTTGTCTTACACTTAGCAAGCTTTGACTAATTTTGGAACAAAAACATCAGATATGAATTTGGTACCTGACTTGGTTTGGACAGAAACATTTCCCTTGCCTCTGACCTCCAGCAGCTCTCCATTTCCTATCTTCACTTTGGATCGATAACTCTGATCCAAGTTCACATAATGACCAAGGTTGGGAGTCATATGGTTGGTGCAACCACTGTCAATTAACCACACCTCTTGATCACAATTAGCTACACATCCTGAAGCCATAAACAGCTGCTCAGCTTCTTGAGTCTCTATTGATTCTCCACTACCTGGGATTGATGCCCTGCTGCCCTTCTTTATTCTTGCACACCCTTTCTACATGTCCAAACTGCTTACAAGACCTGCATTGTATGCCAGGCCTGAACCAGCATTTGTTTTCAGAGTGATTCTTTTTCTTGCAGTGAGGACAAGAAAGAAAGGTTCTCATTCCCACATTTTTTCCTCCTTCGTTGTTAACATCCTCCTTTCCCTTCTTCCTCCACATACCCCCTGTTTTGGCTTGTTATCATGACTCCTTCACTTGAGTCTTCCTGCCTCAACAACCCTCCTCGCTCTTATGCTTGAGAGAATGCACAATTTCGCTAGCTGATTTGGAAGGTCTTTGGAGTCTTCAGTGAAGAGATTTTTGCCTCAAATCTCTCAGGTAAACTAACCAAAAACCTTCTCTATTATCCTCTGTTAGTCAACTCTTCACCAAGTAGCTTAATCTTGTTCACCACATTCATCAACCTATCCACTACTCCATGACAGACTCAACCTCTTGCATCTTAATCTCAAATTCTCTTCTCAGGTTAGAACTTACATGCTACGTGTTGTATTGTTGCCCCCAACTCCTCCTTAAGCTTATCCTAAGCCTCTTTGGAGTTTCACACGCCATAATCCTGGTGAAGACTTGGTCTGTCACTGCCGAGTGTATGTAAGATAGGGCCCTTGGTGCTTTAGACATCTCCTCTTCATGAATCCTGATTTGGTTTAGTTGGGGTTTGCTCCCAACTAAGGAACTTGCTTCTCCTGCTCCACGTATTGCCACAACCCATGGCCTCTTAAATAAGTCTTCATCGTGACAGCCCTACATGGAACTATCTCCATTGAAATAAGTGGAGAAAGTGAAGCTGGAGTTGAAGCCTGGAGCAGATTATGTATGGTGTTGAGTTTTGTTAAGAGGTTTCTGTTTTTCCAGGTCCTGAAAGATCACAACAGCTCGATACAATGTTGGTTTTTAGAGCTGGAGAATACTAAGGAAAGAGGACCAAAGCAGAGGTGAGAGAGAGCTGTAAAGAGAGAAAATCTAAACTAAAATTTTGCTCTGTTTTTCATTCAAAAACAGGGGTAGTTTTTATACAAGAACTTGCTACTGTTCCACCTAAAGTTACAAATTTAAAATTTAAACCAAGCACTCCAACTAATGGACGTACAAACATATCAAAATACATCATTTTATCAACCTAATTCACCTAAACACATCACTGAAATATTTTCTAAAACGTGACCAAAAAACTGCAACTTCACACACAACACCATTTCAAACCGTGGCGCCAAAAACTTGCAACTCCCAACATGTGTTGACTTCATCATTTCCAGCAAGATACATCATCTTCAACTTAAGAGTTAGATATACACTTCTGCATGCATGTGGACATGGCCAAACTCAGAGGTATATGTTTATCCTTCATTTTTCTTTATTAAGAATCTTCATCCATTCATTAATTAAGCACGATGCTCAGTTAAGTAAGGATAATGTATTGAATTAAACCTGTTGTTTATGCTCATCTTTCAAGGAAACTCTGTTATTGCTTTCTGTTTCCGTCTAATTCTCCTATAATTCTTCATTTCTAAGTTCATAAAGAAATTTTTTCAGAATAAAAAAAAAAAAATTGGGATGTTGTTCAAACAAAACACTTCATTCAAACTTCACTTTTAATTTGGATTTTCCAATCTGTATGTAATTGGGGTCTTTGGATCTTATTTACTTTTTATTGTAATACTACTTTAGTATCATTCAAGTTAAATTTTATCGGAGAGTAACTTTGTAGAAATTGGAACACTGGTCTCATTACCAGGTACGTTATGGCCTATCAGGGCAAACTAAATTTCAATGGTTGAATGAGAAAACATTGAAATAAAACATAAGGATTTATGGCTGCCGGATGCTGGTTAGTGAGATGGAGAACCGCTACACTTGCGACGCTGCGAACAGCTATTCGGTGTCCTTTGGAGGCTAACAATGTGTAATAAGCTCCCGTTGGAGCGACAGTGTCCTTTGGATTGCATCAAAAAGTGCAACTATTGGAAACTCTCTTTCTATTAACAACTTCGAATTTATGGACTCGGCTATGTTCGTGGTCATGACATCAAACCTTCTTCCAGGAAAGTAAGCTCTACTCCATCGCTCGAAACCAACATCATGCTCAAGATATTTAGCAACTCTATCATCCTTGATTCGGATTTGCTGGAAGTGCTCCTCGAATGCATCAACCCAATAAGCTTTTGCTATCATGTAGTATGTCTGAAGGAGGCCAGCATACTTACACTTTTGTTTTATGTTCTCACCAAAGTGCCTCATACAGAATCCGTGATGTGTTTGACGGTAAATAGTGGCAATCCCCTTCTTTATAGAGTTGTGCCTATCAGATATTATGCACAATTCGTCAGTGTCAGACACTATCGTATGTAACTGCTGAAAAAACCAAGTCCACGACTCGTCATTCTTAGAGTCAACCACACACCATGCAACAGGATATGTGTGATTCTCGCTGTCCTGTGCAGTGGCCACCAATAATGTACCTCCATACTTTCTTGTTATAAAGCAACCATCAATAGCCAACACCTTTCTCATGTTTACAAAACCCCTTATAGCAGAACCGTAAGCAACAAAAAAATATTTAAACATCATATTCCTGTCCCACTTCAAAGTCGTCTTGCTATCTTGGTTTGTCAACTCAAGCATATAACGGTACGCTTCTAATACTGCGTATCCATGCCCCGACGTGCCCCTCACAAAATCTTGTGCATGTTGTCTCCCTTTCCAGCATTTCCAGTAACTAACAGCACATCCCAACTCTGTGCGCACAAGTCTCTGAATGTCTTTAGGAGATGGACATTTCCCTTCAACGAACTGACTTTTGACAAATTGTCCAATAACATCAGTGAACGCTTGTCGATGCTCACCTGAAATATGTCCCAAACCACAAGTGTGCTGACTTTTTCGTGATGAACTCAAAATTACCTCTCACGGCAACAAGTTTTAGCTTCCTCACCACTTCCTCTTTGTTGTCAAATAAATACCCTATGTGCAACTCCGATCCATCTGTAAAAACATGAGCTGATTCACTACTATCTCCAATTGCCTTCTCTGAACCTGCATAAACGACCATGGTGTTCTCTTCCTCACAGTCTACGCCTTCTGCATAATCTGTATTTAAAGAAATCTCTACATCTGTGGGAATATCTACGGGGTCCTCCTCCTCAACATTTTTATTCTGCCCCCCATCACCAACCTCTTCTACAGTCTCCTCCTCACCACCAAATTCACCGTCTACTCTTGATTTTTTCAACTAACAAATCAATAGCGTCATAGTTCAAATTAAAACCAGGCAAATCTCCGCCTACTTCCTCGTTATCCCTTTCCTTTGAACCAACTTCGAACGGTTTTTCTACAAGAGAAACCCTTAAAATCGGCCTCGAACCATTATCGGCCACATCAATCATATATAACTAATTCACACTTTCATCCGACTTTAATATAGCAGGAGGTACCTTATAATATTCAGGAACTCTGCTTAAAACATACTTCATAACTATATCACTATGCAAGCAACTCAAATTACCTCTTCTAATTATTTCATCAATCAACTCATCAAAACTAACCTCTGTGCTCATAGCAATTGGTATAACTTTTTTGCTCTTCTCAATCCACTTCCAGCTACGTTCTTCCTCCACCCACTCACCAAAATATTCAACACCCAAAACAACTTGTCCCATGTGTAATAACAGCCAACTACCTGTAATGCAAGAAAAAAAAAATTCTTAAATGTTGTACTAAGGGTTCAAATATTTTAAAAAGAATCTGCACAATCGCTTATATGGTCTACTATATCGCTTAAGCAATCATGGTTATTTATACTGGATCGCTTAAGCGATATACTTGATTGCTTAAGCAATCTTATGCCATTTACTAATCACTTAAGCGATCTGCTCCTATACACCAGACTTTTACCAGATCGTTGAAGCGATCTATCTGCTGCATACCTAATCGCTTAAGCGATCTATCTGCTGCATTACCAGACCTACCAGATCGCTTAAGCGATCCATCATACCCAGAATACATTTTCAGTCATCTCCACCTACAATCGATCCATTATACCCAAAACAAATTTTTAACAAATTTCACTCCTTTCAACTTGCATTACATCAAATACAACCCAAAAACCTAAACAACTAAATCAAAATCATAACCCAAACCCCATCCATTATTAAATCTTTGTAAATCTAAATATAAAATGTAAAAAGGAGATACACATACTTAGACGAAATGTCAGGAGGAGGAGGAGGAAGATCTTTGGCGGAGAAGATGTTAATGGTGGAGGAAGAAGAAAGTGTTAATGGCGGAGAAACAAGAAGATATAGAGGAATGAGGAAGAAGAAGAAGAAGATGTAGACGAAGCTAAAAAGAAGAGAAGAAGATGCAGAGGTAGAGATGCGTTAATGGCGGAAGGAAGAAGAAGGTGTTTGGGTTTGTTTGCAACAATTTCGGGTTTGTGGGAATATAGTATAATTTTGAAAAGATTATATAATACTTCATTAATCCTAATTAAGCACTAATTACCCTTAATCAATAATATGGCTATTTAGTTGACACTTTAAAACTTGATAGCCTTTTAATTAAATACAAACTTGAGATGGCCTTCTAATAAACTGCCCCCAAACCTCTTGACTTTTAATTTATCAATGGCAACTCCATCAAGAAGAATTTCACCTCCAAGTGGGTCATAAAACCTTTGTAAAAGTGAAATTACTGTGGATTTCCCTGAGCCATTACCACCCACTACGTTCATTGTCTTTCCTGCTGGAATCTTTAGGCACAAGCCTTTGAAGATTATGGTTTCAGGCCTTGATGGGTATGCAAATTCTCCGTGCCTAAACTCAACTTCACCTGAAGCATTCTCCAGGATTTGGCCTTCCAAGTTTTCTTAATCAATCTTGGGAATTCTTTTTATTACCTCCATTATACGCTTTCCTGTTGACTTTGCTTCAGATATGGAGTTGAGGTTAGATAAACCAGTTCTTAATGCCCTGATCAAGAACAACTTATTGAGTATATGGATGATAATTTTTGTATAATTTCGTATTTTCTTGTAAGCCAAAAGGCAATACTTACTAGCCTCTAAACTCCAATGGCAATAGAGGCACCGACTGCATACACGGTTCCTCCTTGAGCACCATGGTACATGACTAATCTAGTATCATAATAAGCAATGAAAGACCAAATAGCATAAGTAATGTTGCTGCTTCCAATGGCCCATCCTTTAGCCAAGCCTTGCTTTACCCCTAGGCCCCAAACTGACTAAGCCTTCTAGGGCCGACGAGAACTCGTTGATGGTTTTAGTTTCACCAACAAATGAATAAACAGTTCTTATAAAAGAGATTGCATGTTCCGTAGTTGTTCCAGCCTTCTTGTACAATATCTAGGCATGGCAATGTTCCCGGGATTTCGGAACCATCCCACCCCGTATATAATATATAAAATTAAAATATATATATATATATATACACTTTTCACTAATATCTCTATATTTTACCTAATTACACAATTATCCTACCTATATAATCCATATTTTCCCAATTTCCATCATCCTAAACAATTGAACAAAAACAAACTCTAACCCATATTTATGTATAATTAATTATGTTTAAATGATTAATTTAAGTGTTTGTCATGTAAACGAGAATTAACTATAGTGTTTGATAATGCTCAAATTAATTTATGTTTATTTAAAATTAACGGGGCGAGGACGGGCTTCCAACATTTCCCTTTGGGGCGGGGAAGTGAAATTCTTGTCATCCCCGTAACGGGGATGGGGCGGGGGCGGGGAGTGATTTTGAGGGTGGGGATGGGTAAGGTGAATGAGATCCCTGCCCCGCCCCATTGCCATGCCTAATAATATCCCTCTAAACATTTTCCCAAATTTTAATGAAATAAGGAAACTACCAACAACAATCAATAAAGAAATCATTAATTTATCAAGTTTTTAAAATCCACCTTGGAAACAAACAAACTCGCTGGCACCAGATATGTAAAACATTATCACTGAATTCTGCCACAACAGAATGAAATTTCAGTTATCCTTTTATGTTCAAACATATGTAATTAGAAGAGAAGGAAAGCATGAACACCTTGCTAATGTCATGGTTGAACAACTTTAGGTTTATCAGTTAACGCAGTGCCAAAATTGTTCATCAACTTACCCATCACAAGCACCACTATAGGAGCAGTGAAGCCGTCACAAACGGCTCCGATGAACCTCAGAGCCATCAACAACATATCCACACCGTTTGCTTGCATGAAAATGGACAGTACAAACCTCTTCTTTCTCTTCCCCTTGCCACCTTTTCTTTCTCCTCCCATTTTCACACAAAAACCAAAACAAACAAAGAAACAATACAGCTCTCTTCTCTTCTGCTATGGCTTACAAAATCTATACTATGTTAAGTGTTGGTTTTTAGAGCTAGAGAATACCAAGGAAAGAGGAACAAAGCAGACATGAGAGAGAGATGTAAAGAGAGAAAATCTGAACAGAAATTTTGCTCTGTTTTTCATTCAAAAAACAGGGGTAGTTTTTATACAAGAACTTGCTACTGTTCCACCTAAAGTTACAAATTTAAAATTTAAACNTATTTCGATATTTGCCGCATCCCATGCCTATCTTTTATTTTCTGTTTCGATTACATTGATGTCTCTTATATTTTGATTTGTGATAAATTTGATTGATACAAATTCTTTTCGGATTTGGGAGGGAAATGAGTGATGTACAAATGTTTCCCAAATGACCAATACTTTTCTATATATGATCGCTTAAGCGATCTCAAATCGCTTAAGCGACCAAGAGTCTATTACGAAGCATCGCTTAAGCGATACATCAGATCGCTTAAGCGATTACCCACCTGGGCAGATGTTCATTCTGCCTTGACAAAGATCGCTTAAGCGATCCTAAATCGTTTAAGCGACAGAGACTCGTTTAGGAAGCATCGCTTAAGCGATACATAACATCGCTTAAGCGATCTCAGATCTGGGCAGATTCATTTTGCCTTGGCCAAGATCGCTTAAGCGATTTGAGATCACTTAAGCGATCAAGAGTGTTTTACGAAAATCGCTTAAGCGATACAAATGGATAGCTTAAGTGATTTTTGATCTGGGCATCTGCAGAGAGCTAGATTGCTTAAGCGATTACCGATCGCTTAAGCGACCAGGAGTAAAAGCAATGAATCGCTTAAGCGATACATAAGATCGCTTAAGCGATTATAGATCTGGGCAGATTCATTCTGCCTTGGCCAAGATCGCTTAAGCGATTTGAGATCGCTTAAGCGATCAAGAGTGTTTCACGAAAATCGCTTAAGCGATACAAGTGGATAGCTTAAGCGATTTTTGATCTGGGCATCTGCCGCGAGCTAGATCGCTTAAGCGATTACTGATTACTTAAGTGACCAGGAGTAAAAGCAAAGAATCGGTTAAGTGTTCCTATGTATTCGGATATTATTTATTGTATTTCAGAGCATCGGTTTAGCGATTAACGCTATGCTAAACATATAGGGTTTACGATTCATTTAGTGGACTATGACCGTTATTATATTTATATTAAACATATANAAATTTTGCTCTGTTTTTCATTCAAAAAACAGGGGTAGTTTTTATACAAGAACTTGCTACTGTTCCACCTAAAGTTACAAATTTAAAATTTAAACCAAACACTCCAACTAATGCACGTACAAACATATCAAAATACATCATTTTATCAACCTAATTCACCTAAACACGTCACTAAAATATTTTCTAAAACAGTGACCAAAAAACTGCAACTTCACCCACAACACCATTTCAAACCGTGGCGCCAAAAACTTGCAACTCCCACCGTGTGTTAACTTCATCATTTCCAGCAAGATATCATCATCTTCAACACTCCTCCTTGATATCTTTGCTGGAAACACTAAGTTTGAGCTTTAACTCTTCAAACTTGGCTTTGGACAAACCTTTGGTCATTATATCTGTAACTTGTTCTTCACTATTAAAGAGAACTCCTCCTCCATTGCAGCTTCTCCAAGCATCAGATTTGACTGCCTCATTGTAGCTTGTTGGTTCTAACTCAGCCACATTGCACCTCTCATAAATTCCAGATATTGGCTTTGTACCTCTAACTGGAACTTCATCAACTTCATCTTAATTCACTTCTTCAATCTGACTTTTGGGCATTCTATCTTGCTGGAAGCTTGGCTTGACTTTAACCTAACTTTTTTCCAAATTCCAAACAGCACATTCGTCCATCTTGACATCTCTATTGACTATGTTAGCTGAATGGTTTTAAAAAACAAACTTTCCCCACTCAACCGGGAAGCTTTTTCCTTGCATTCTAACTCTTATTAACTCATTCACATCACATTCTATAATAACACATGCTGAGTTTTTAAAATGCAGAGAGTAATTCCTCTCAACCATTTGTCTTACACTTAGCAAGCTTTGACTAATTTTGGGAACAAATAAAACATCAGATATGAATTTGGTACCTGACTTGGTTTGGACAGAAACATTTCCCTTGCCTCTGACCTCCAGCAGCTCTCCATTTCCTATCTTCACTTTGGATCGATAACTCTGATCCAAGTTCACATAATGACCAAGGTTGGGAGTCATATGGTTGGTGCAACCACTGTCAATTAACCACACCTCTTGATCACAATTAGCTACACATCCTGAAGCCATAAACAGCTGCTCAGCTTCTTGAGTCTGCTATTGATTCTCCACTACCTGGGATTGATGCTCCTGCTGCCCTTCTTTATTCTTGCACACCCTTTCTACATGTCCAAACTGCTTACAAGACCTGCATTGTATGCCAGGCCTGAACCAGCATTTGTTTTCAGAGTGATTCTTTTTCTTGCAGTGAGGACAAGAAAGAAAGGTTCTCATTCCCACATTTTTTCCTCCTTCGTTGTTAACATCCTCCTTTCCCTTCTTCTCTCCAGCATACCCCCTGTTTTGGCTTGTTATCATGACTCCTTCACTTGAGTCTTCCTGCCTCAACAACCTCCTCTGCTCTTATGCTTGAAGAGAATGCACAAGTTCTGCTAAGCTGATTTGGGATAGGTCTTTGGAGTCTTCAAGTGAAGAGATTTTTGCCTCAAATCTCTCAGGTAAACTAACCAAAACCTTCTCTATTATCCTCTTGTTAGTCAACTCTTCACCAAGTAGCTTAATCTTGTTCACCACATTCATCAACCTATCCACATACTCCATGACAGACTCAACCTCTTGCATCTTAAGCATCTCAAATTCTCTTCTCAGGTTTAGAACTTACATGCTACGTGTTGTATTGTTGCCCCCAAACTCCTCCTTAAGCTTATCCTAAGCCTCTTTGGGAGTTTCACACGCCATAATCCTGGTGAAGACTTGGTCTGTCATTGCTGAGTGTATGTAAGATAGGGCCCTTGGTGCTTTAGACATCTCCTCTTCATGAATCCTGATTTGGTTTAGTGTGGGGTTTGCTCCCAACTGAGGAACTTGCTTCTCCTCCTCCACGTATTGCCACAACCCATGGCCTCTTAAATAAGTCTTCATCGTGACAGCCCTACATGGAACTGATCTCCATTGAAGATAAGTGGAGAAAGTGAAGCTGGAGTTGAAGCCATGGAGCAGATTATGTATGGTGTTGAGTTTTGTTAAGAGGTTTCTGTTTTTCCAGGTCCTGAAAGATCACAACAGCTCCGATACCAATTGTTGGTTTTTAGAGCTGGAGAATACTAAGGAAAGAGGACCAAAGCAGAGGTGAGAGAGAGCTGTAAAGAGAGAAAATCTAAACTAAAATTTTGCTCTGTTTTTCATTCAAAAAACAGGGGTAGTTTTTATACAAGAACTTGCTACTGTTCCACCTAAAGTTACAAATTTAAAATTTAAACCAAGCACTCCAACTAATGGACGTACAAACATATCAAAATACATCATTTTATCAACCTAATTCACCTAAACACATCACTGAAATATTTTCTAAAACAGTGACCAAAAAACTGCAACTTCACACACAACACCATTTCAAACCGTGGCGCCAAAAACTTGCAACTCCCAACATGTGTTGACTTCATCATTTCCAGCAAGATATCATCATCTTCAACATTAAGAGTTAGATAATACACTTCTGCATGCATGTGGACATGGCGCAAACTCAGAGGTATATGTTATCCTTCATTTTTCTTTATTAAAGAATCTTCATCCATTCATTAATTAAGCACGATGCTCATGTTAAGTAAGGATAATGTATTGAATTAAACCTGTTGTTTATGCTCATCTTTCAAGGAAACTCTGTTATTGCTTTCTGTTTTCCGTCTAATTCTCCTATTAATTTCTTCATTTGTAAGTTCATAAAGAAATTTTTTCAGAATAAAAAAAAAATATATATTGGGATGTTGTTCAAACAAAACACTTCATTCAAACTTCACTTTTAATTTGGATTTTCCAATCTGTATGTAATTGGGGTCTTTGGATCTTATTTACTTTTTATTGTAATACTACTTTAGTATCATTCAAGTTAAATTTTATCGGAAAGTAACTTTTGTAGAAATTGGAACACTGGTCTCATTGCACAGGTACGTTATGGCCTATCAGAGCAAACTAAATTTCAATGGTTGAATGAGAAAACATTGAAATAAAACATAAGGATTTATGGCTGCCGGATGCTGGTTAGTGAGATGGAGAACCGCTACACTTGCGACGCTGCAGAACAGCTATTCGGTGTCCTTTGGAGGCTAACTAATGTGTAATAAGCTCCCGTGGGACCTTTGGCCAATAAGGACTGGTGGTTTCCATTCTCGACCACTTGTCCCTTATCTAACACAGTGATGAGATCACAATTTTGTATGGTACTTAATCTATGTGCTACCACCACACTAGTTCTTCCAATCATCATGTGTTCAAGGGCCTCTTGCACTAGTTTCTCAGATTGACTGTCAAGAGCGCTGGTTGCCTCATCTAATAGCAATACTGTAGCATTTTTCAATATAGCTCGAGCTAGCGCAATACGTTGTTTTTGGCCTCCTGATAATTGTACCCCCCTTTCCCCACACCAGGTATCATATCCGTGATTCAATCCTGCTATGAAAGTATGAGCATTGGCTGCTTTAGCTGCCTCAATGATCTGTGATTCATCAATGTCGTTATGTACACCATATATAATGTTTTCTCTGATAGTACCAGAAAACAAAGTAGGCTCTTGACTAACAAGTGCAATATGCCTTCTCAATGACTTAAGGTTGTATGATCTAATATCTTGACCATCAATTTTGACCACACCTTTTAGAGGATCGTAAAATCGTTCGATTAAACTGATAATCGTTGATTTTCCAGATCCACTTTGTCCGACCAATGCGATTGATTTTCCAGCTTCAATGTTGATAGAAAAGCCTTTGAAAATTATCACATCAGGTCTAGTGGGATATGCAAAATGTACATCTTGAAGTTCTATATAACCTGTTATATTTTCAGGTTGGTAGCTCTCAGAATCGTCAGGCTTAATTCTTGTATACCGATCTAATACAGAAAAGACTAACCTTACAGCATCTGAGCCTCTAACAAGATCTGTGGTCATGCTACCAGCAGTAGCTATGAGATAGCCTGTGCTCACTAGGATCAAAAAGGTCACCAAAAAGCCCTGGGAAGTGATGAAGCCCTCTGTCAAAAGCTTGCCACCATACCAAAAATCCAAAGCCAAAGTACAAGATGTTAAGCTTTGGGAGAAGGAAAGGCCGATTCCTGCATACCATGATTGTCTGACACTCTCTCTTCGTGGACCTTCCTGAGCTTTTTCTAGCATTTTCAGGATTCTGTCTTGGGAGGAGAATGCTGTGATGGTTCTCAAGTTGGTAACAGCTTCCGCAGCAAGCTTGCTACTTTCTTCTTGTGCTTTTATGGCCTTGTTTGACATATTTTTTAGTAGAGCTTTCTTACTATAAAAGCATACTATCAAAAGCGGCTGGACTGCTATCATAACTAAAGCAAGCCTCCATGCAATGACTAATCCCAAAGCGAAAGCTATGGATACAGCCGATACAGTTTGTACAAGGAGAGACATACGATCACCCACTAAAGATCTCCCCTGCAGCCAATCAAATAAATTTCCATTTTTCAGTGTTGATTCTTACTTGTCTTATAACATATTAGTTAAAAACTTTCGATTAATACGTACCACATTTGCATCTTTTGCTAGTCGGGAGCAAATAGCACCACTTGAGTTTTCATCTTGATCAAACCATCCAACTTCAAAAGTGAGCATCTTTGAAAGCATCCTCTCTCTGATCCTCTTGGTTAAGCACTCTCCCTTGTACGCGAAATTGTAATGTTGGCTTAAATTAACCAGTAAAGAGAACAATGCTAACCCAATCAAACACAAAGCATAGAACTTCGTCTTCTCTTTAATCTCATTGTGATCTTTCAAGAAAAAAACATTTACCATAGACCCTATGATTAAGGAATAAACAGGTTGCACAGCACCGTACAAGATTGCACTTAAACACCCTAAGCTTGCTTGCTTCCACTCAGGTAGATTCAAAGCTAACAATCTTCTAAACGATGGCGCAGGCAACTTTTTCTTGTAATCTTCTATATTACTATTTCTTCGATCATCATCTTCATCATCATCATCACCTCTTCTTGGGTTTACATCCAAGCTTGATCTGAAAGATGGGTCACTCATCGATGAAGAAGTGAGGTTTGTCAACATCGTCTCGTCTGGGGTTGTTGTTTGTTCTTTTTCAGTTTGTTGAAGATGAATAAGTGAAGTATAATGACTATTTTCATCTTGGATAAGCTCGTCGTGGGAACCTGTTTCCATGACATGGTCATTTTGGATGACGGCAATCACATCGGCGTAGCGGATGGTTGAGAGACGGTGAGCGATGATGATAGTGGTGCGTCCAACAGCGGCGTTGTCTAAGGCTTCCTGCACCACACGCTCAGATTCAGAGTCGAGGGCGCTTGTTGCCTCATCCAAGAGAAGAATTCTGGGTGCTTTGATTACAGCTCGTGCAATGGCAATTCTTTGTTTTTGCCCCCCTGACATTTGAACTCCTCTCTCCCCCACCTGTTCATATTGTCACATGTAAAATTTGATTAAATCATGGTTCTGATTTACTGGAATATGTTAACTCAATCTATTTTTCAAATCACAGAGCTTCAGCTAACCTCTCTTCATTAAATTTTAGGCTGCGTTTGTACAAGGCTTTCGGAAGATTACTCCGATTATTTATCTTTTAATCCAACTATTATCTTGTTTGGTTTCACACAAGTAATATGAGTTATAAGACAGATCATATACGAGATTATTTGATTACCGACTCAGAGAGACGTGTGTTAAGGTTATCGTGGTAATCTTATTTTTGTTCTAATTGGACTCTTAATAAAAATTTCATACACAAATGCCCTTCTATTGATGTCAAATAATAATTAACCCAATTTATTGAATGATTTTTTAATCTCATTAATTAATTATTTGGATAAAAATACCTTATGTATATGTAAAGGGCATTTAGTAAAATAATATCTAATATTTTGTAATTACTATTAATCAAACACATTAATTATTTATACAATCCGAATAAAACAAACATGAAAATAATTTATACCTATTAATCTTTAGGGGGCGTTTGGTTCAGGGAATGTTGGATTACTAGAAAGATAGATTACTGTGAAGATTATTGGAAATCTTTGGGAAAATGTATTTGGTTAATTGGTGGGTATGTTATATTAATATATTTGATTGGGAGGAATAAATTGGTGAGTATGTTATTTAAATTACTGAATTGTCCTCTAATTAAATATTATTATTATATTATTTTTTAATATTGATTATTATTTGGATTCTTATAACCCCCCTACATTTAAAAACTTAGCAAAAACAACCCGAAAATAAAAGTTTGAAAAATCAACAAAACACCCCTACCAACCGAGCCACTGCCGGCCGTCGGCAACCACCACAGGCCGCCGGCAGTTAGCAACCTAACGGCACACGGAAGGCAAGAAATGGCATACGTGCTTCGTATGGCCATTTCCGGCCAGACCAACGACCAAATTTGTCACGTCTGGCCAGATCTCTGGCCAGAAATGGCCATATCGTCGCACGACGGCCATTTTCGGCCTTCCGTGAGCCATTCCGACTGTGACAGTTGCTGGTCGCGGTGGTGGTTGCCAACGACAGGCTATGGCAGGTGGGTGGGAGGGGGTGACCTGGGTGGGCTGTAATTTGTTTTGAATTCAAGGGTAATTTTGTCCAAAATGTTAATTAATTGGGGTGAAATAGTAAAAGTCATATTCATGTAAATAAATTAAAAAAATAAAGATATTATTGTCCTAAAATTTTATTAATAAGGGATAGAATTGTAACAAAAAAAATAACCCAGGTAATCTTAGAATACCTAAGAAAATAGAGGTAATCAGATTACCTCCAATATTACCAATAATAACTACTATTGATATTTAAAGATTATTGATATCTTATATTATTTAGTAATTAAATATAATAATCAATTAATAAAAGAAGACTTAACCTAAATAATTCCAGATAACCCAACCAAACGCCACCTTTTAAGGTTATTTATCTCAAAGGTAATTCTATGGATGATAGAGATAAAACAAACTAACCTGGGTATCATACTGCTGAGGTAACTGAGAGATAAAACGATGAACATTAGAAGCTTTCGCTGCTTCAACAATCTCTTCCATTGTGGCATCTTCCTTGCCGAAAAGGATGTTTTCTTTAATTGTGGTGGCAAATAGTACAGGCTCTTGGCTCACAAGACCCATTTGTGATCTCAGCCACTTCAGTTGTAATTTATCAGTAGCAACTCCATCAAGAAGAATATCACCTCCAAGTGGGTCATAAAACCTCTGTAAAAGTGAAATTACTGTGGATTTTCCTGAGCCACTACCACCCACTAAGGCCACTGTCTTTCCAGCTGGAATTTTTAGGCATAAGTCTTTGAAGATTATGCTTTCTGGCCTTGATGGGTATGCAAATTCTACATGTCTAAACTCAACTTCGCCTGAAACGGAACCCAGAATTTGACCTTCCATGTTGTACGAATCAATCTTGGGAATTCTTTTTATAACCTCCATTATACGCTCTCCTGCTGATAGTGCTTCTGATATGGACTTCAGGTTTGATAATCCAGTTCCTAACGCCCTGATCAAGAACAACTTGTTTTTTCATATGTATATAGATGGTAATTTTTGTAAAATTTCGTATTTTCTTTTAAGTGAGAAGGTAATACTTACTGGCCACCAAGAGCAATGGCAGTGCCAACGGCATACACGTTTCCTCCTTGAGCACCATGGTACATGACCATTCTACTACCATAATAAGCTATGAAAGACCAAATAGCATAATTAATATTGCTGCTTCCAATAGCCCATCCTTTAGCCAATCCTTGCTTTACCCCCAAATTGACTAAGCCTTCAAGGGCCGAAGAGAACTCGTTGATGGTTTTGGTTTCACCAACAAATGAATAAACAGTTCTTATAGAAGAGATTGCCTGTTCNTTCCTAACGCCCTGATCAAGAACAACTTGTTTTTTCATATGTATATAGATGGTAATTTTTGTAAAATTTCGTATTTTCTTTTAAGTGAGAAGGTAATACTTACTGGCCACCAAGAGCAATGGCAGTGCCAACGGCATACACGTTTCCTCCTTGAGCACCATGGTACATGACCATTCTACTACCATAATAAGCTATGAAAGACCAAATAGCATAATTAATATTGCTGCTTCCAATAGCCCATCCTTTAGCCAATCCTTGCTTTACCCCCAAATTGACTAAGCCTTCAAGGGCCGAAGAGAACTCGTTGATGGTTTTGGTTTCACCAACAAATGAATAAACAGTTCTTATAGAAGAGATTGCCTGTTCTGCAATTGTTCCAGCCTTGTTGTACTCTTCTGCCATTTTCCTTGCTAAATTCATCACAGCCCTTCCACAAATCATTCCAGGAATTACCAGAAGCAGAACAGTGGGAAATATAACAATGGTTAGCCTCCATAGTATCAAGAATCCTACCACATAGCTCCCGATAAATGTGGCAACATTCACCAGAAAGTTCGGAAGCTGTCACAGAGAGTGAAGAGAGTTAATAATAATAATAATAATGAAACAGTTTCTTTCTGTACTAGAACAAAGTATGAGATTGATGATGAAAACCTTTTCGCTGATAACATCTTGAATCACAAGACTATCATTAGCGACGCTTGTGATAACCTCTGCTGTGCTGGTGACATGCAAATCAAAGTATTCCACATCCTGCCTTAACACTGCTTTCAAATATTTAGCTCTCATTCTTGTGGCTTGCCTTTCTCCCGTTCTTGTCCAACAATATGCCTCTAACATTTTCCCAAAAGTTAATGAAATAAGGAAACTACCAACAATAATCAATAAAGAAATCATTAATTTATCAAGTTTTTAAAACCCACCTAGAAAACAAACAAACCATCTGGCACCAGATATGTACAACATAATCACTGCATTCTGCCACCACAGAATGAAACTCAAGTCAGGCTTTTACGTACGTTTAAACATATGTAATTTTAAAAGAAGGAAAGTATGAAACCTTGTTAATGTCATGAGTGAACGACTTTAGATTATCAGTTGACACAGAGCCAAAACTGTTCATCAATTTACCCATTACAAACACCAGTACAGGAGTAGTGAAGCCATCGCAAACGGCTCCGATGAATCCCAGAACCATCAACAACATATCCACACCGTCTGCTTGCATGAAAATCGATAGAACAGACCCCTTCTTTCTCTTCACCTCGCCGCCTTTTCTTTTTCCACACATTTTCACACAAAAACCAAAACAAACAAGACAAAACTCTTCCCTTCTTCTTTGGCTTACAAAATCAATACTATGTTAGATTTTATAATACACTTCTGCATGCATGTGGACAGGGCGCAGACTCAGAGGTCTAGGTGATATATATATGTTGTAGTACTTGAACATCTTCCAAGGAAATACTTTAATCACAAATGAATTTGATTGGTTACAGGTTTATAACTTCTCCATTTTTTCTCCATCAAAGATTGCGTATCTTCATCGATTCATTAATTATGTACGATGCTCATGTTAATCAACGATAATGAGTTGAAGTAAACCTATTGTTTATGTTCATCTTTCAAGGAAACTCCATTATTGCTTGTTTCTTTCTGTCTAATCCTCCTTTAATTTCTTCATTTCTCATTAGTCATCCACTAACAAGTAATTAATTAACAATAAAGTAAGTAATTAACTTCATGTGCTTTTCCTTGATCAGTACGCTGTGCAAGATCATATACAGTAAAATTATTAATATTTGTGTAGTTAAGGGATTATACAATGTTGATGCTAAGATTCCCACCAGCCGACGAGATCTACGTAAATTACTTTGGTGAAATCTATGCAAAGGATTGTATAAAATCCATGATGCGATATTGAATCAATGAATAAATTGAAAGCATAAATGTTAATAGAATTTTAAAGTGGTTCAGATCATAGTTATCAAATCGTGTATCGTATCGTGTATCAAAAACCTAATTTTTTGAATCGTATATCGCGTATCGTATCATATTGTATAGTAAGATACGTCTTTTTCAAAAAAATTAATAAAATAATCAAAATTTTCTAAAAATTAATATAATCCCCAAAATTAATTAAAGAATTTTGTGGTATTATTGACTTTAAATTACGATATTACATAATTAAAATTAATCACAAAATTCCAAGGTGAATGTCAATATTTATATCTTCACTTATATTATTATTATCATGTAAAATTGGCAATATATATTCCTTTTCACTTTCTCCATGCAAAATAGGTAAATTTGGACAGGTTTTAGTGAATCTGGTTGGGTGACCCGGTTTCGACCTGAATTTTTTTTTTGGACATTTGACCCAAATTAATAAAGTCGTATCGATTTATATCGATATTTTTAAGGATACGAACAGATACGTATCGTATCATAGGATACATATCAATGTATCGAATGGTTTAGGATACACTATCTGATACGTATCGTTGGCGATCTGTATCGAATCGTATCTTATGATAAGTATTGGGTATCATAGGATATTAACAATCATGGTTCAGATGTTTAATGCAAACCCTACGTCCACGGACGTAACCACGCTATAATATATGGGTTGAATTAAATCTATTCAAACTTTGAAAAAAATGAAAAAAGACTTTATATTATATAGTATTTTATAATTTTAACCTTATTTAAATTCATATTGAATCCACTCAAGTAAGCTTATATATTTATAATGACAAATTTATAAAAGTTTAACTCTAAATGAAACGACATGCACGTGACGTGAATTCGTGATCTGAAGGTTGATTGAAAAGCATACCGTCAGTTCGATATGATTTTGGATTCTAGAAAGAAATACAAGAATAAACAAAGTTCTTCCTATATATATACCAATTAAACATATATTGACTAAAACTTTGGTATTGTAGCTCTTATAAAGTTGAAAAAGAGCAACCCACCAACACTATTATCTATATAAAGTTGAGGAAATTTGTGTCATCTATCAAACAGTGGATCATGAATAAGATTAACAGTTAATAATATTATGTCCAATTAATAGACCCTTTAACCCCACCATGTTGTGATATGGGCTTCAGGTTTTTCGATCTTAATATCTGATTTAAGTATTAAAGGGACTCTGCCAACAAAATCCATCGACTGATCGACACCCTTTGGCTGTAACAAATCTTTTTGAGTGATCATATAATTAGTAAGAATATCTAGGTTTGCTGGATTAGTAAGAAACATTGAAGAAATTGAGGAAAGCTTCCGTCTCATAAGCTGATCAAAATGGAAATTTTGCGCAGGTCAATAGCAATCATTTGCAGTTTTTTTCTTTTTTAAATTTAACGAAGGACTATAAAAATAATGAAGATAAATCCTTCTCCTTACATGTAAAATCGAAAGTGTAATCTTCTTAAATGAGTAGCTGCTCCAGAGGGGGCTAAAAGGGAGAATTCTAATTTCACTTGTTCATAAAATCTAATTGATTGTTGAGTGAGTGTTACTATTTGGTGTCCTTTGCAGGCTAACTAATGAGTAGTAAGCTCCCATGCGTCCTTTGGCCAACAAAGAATGGTGGTTCCCTTTCTCCACGACATGCCCTTTATCCAATACAACGATGAGATCACAAGTTTGTATGGTACTTAATCTATGTGCTACCACAACACTAGTTCTTCCAATCATCATCTGCTCAAGTGCATCTTGTACTAGTTTCTCAGATTGACTGTCAAGCGCGCTAGTTGCTTCATCTAATAATAATACTGTAGCATTTTTCAATATTGCTCGAGCTAATGCAATACGCTGCTTTTGACCTCCTGATAATTGTACTCCTCTTTCCCCACACCATGTGTCATATCCGTCATTCAATCCAGCTATGAAATCATGAGCATTGGCGGCCTTAGCTGCCTCAGTTATCTCAAATTCATCTATGTTGTCAGCTGCACCATAGATAATGTTTTCTCTAATAGTACCAGCAAATAATGTAGGCTCTTGACTAACAAGTGCAATGTGTCTTCTCAATGATTTAAGATTGTACGATCTAATATCTCGACCATCAATTTTTACTATACCTCTAAGAGGATCATAAAACCGTTCGATTAAACTGATAATCGTTGATTTTCCTGATCCACTTTGTCCGACTAATGCAATTGATTTTCCAGCTTCAATGTTGATAGAAAAGCCTTTGAAAATCATCACATCAGGTCTAGCAGGGTATGCAAAACATACATCTTGGAATTCTATATGGCCTGTCATTTTTTCAGGTTGGTAGCCTTCAGAATCTTCAGGGTTAATTCTTGTATGCCGATCTAATACAGCAAAGATTGATCTTATAGCATCTGAGCCTTTTGCAAGATCTGTGGTGGTACTACCAGCAGTAGCAATGAGAATTCCTGTGCTCACAAGGATTAAGGTGGTCTGCAAAAAGGCCCTGGAAGTGATGTAGCCCTCTCTCATGAGCTTGCCACCGTACCAGAAATACCAAGCCCAGGTGCAAGATGACAGGCTCTGGGAGAAGGCGAGGCCTATACCTGCATACCATGATTGTCGAACATTCTCTCTTCGTGGCCCTTCTTGGGCCTTTTCAAGCCTCTTCAGAATTCTATCTTGGGATGAGAAGGCCGTGATGGTTCTCAAGTTGGAGACAGCTTCCGCAGCCAGCTTGCTGCTCTCATCTTGTGCTTTTTTAGCCTTCTTTGACATATTTTTAAGTAGAACTTTCCTAGAATAAAAGCATACTATCATGAGTGGCTGGACTGCCATCATCACCAAAGCAAACCTCCATGCAATGACCAAACCCATAGTGAAAGCTATGGCTACAGCCGATACAGTTTGTACAATAAGAGACATACGATCACCCACCAAAGATCTCCCCTACAACAAGGTCCAAACTGTAAATCAAATTTTCCTAATTTTATAACATATTAATTAAAAGCTATAAATTAATACTTACCACATTTGCATCTTTAGCTAGTCGGGAGAAAGTAGCACCACTAGAGTTGTCTTCCTGATCAAACCATCCAACTTCAAAAGTGAGTATCTTTGAAAACACTCTCTCTCTGATCCTCTTGGTTAAGTGCTCCCCCATGTAAGAAAAATTGTAAGATTGGCTTAAATTAACCAACAAAGAGAACACTCCTAACCCAATCATACACAAAGCATAAATCTTCGTCTTCTCTTTCATCTTATCATGATCTTTCAAGAAGAAAACATCGACCGTAGACGCTCTGATAAAGGCAAAAACAGGTTGCACAGCACCAGAAAAGATTGCGCTTAAACACCCAAAGCTTGCTTGCTTCCACTCAGGTAGATTCAAAGCTAACAATCTCGTAAAAGATGGCGAAGGCAACTTGACCTTGTAATCTTTTACGTTTCTCTCTCTTTGATCATCATCATCAAGTCTTCTAGACTTTACTTCCAAACTTGATCTGAAAGATGAGTCATTCATGGTTGAGGAAGTGAGATTTGTCAACATCATCTCGTCTGGGGTTGTTTTTTGTTCTTTTTCAGTTTGTTGAAGACGAACAAGTGAAGTATAAAGACCATTTTCGTCTTGCATAAGCTCATCATGGGAACCTGTTTCCATGACATGGCCATTTTGGATGACAGCAATCACGTCGGCGAAGCGGATGGTGGAGAGACGATGAGCAATGATGATAGTGGTGCGTCCAATAGCGGCGTTGTCAAGGGCTTCTTGAACAACTCGCTCAGATTTCGAGTCGAGTGCGCTTGTTGCCTCGTCTAAGAGAAGGATTCTGGGTGCTTTGATTATCGCTCGTGCAATGGCAATTCTTTGTTTTTGCCCACCTGACAATTGAACTCCTCTCTCTCCCACCTGTTCATATTATTATTTTCATACATCAAATTTTCATTAAATCATGGTTGTGATTCACAGTTAATAAGAAACAAAAAAATTACATCTAACGGTTATATACATTTGAAGAATATTGATACACTATTTGCCCTGAGACCTACAAGATATTGGACAAGCAAAAACCAACCTGAGTATCATACTGCTGAGGCAACTGGCAGATGAAATTATGAGCATTGGAAGCTTTGGCTGCTTCAATAATCTCTTCCATTGCGGCATCTTCTTTGCCAAAAAGTATGTTCTCTTTAATTGTTGTTGCAAATAGTACAGGCTCTTGGCTCACCAAACCCATTAGTGACCTTAGCCACTTGAGTTGTAATTTATCAATAGCAACTCCATCAAGAAGAATTTCACCTCCAAGTGGGTCATAAAACCTTTGTAATAGTGAAATTACTGTGGATTTCCCTGAGCCACTACCTCCCACTAAGGCCATTGTCTTTCCTGCTGGCATTTTTATGCTAAAATCTTTCAATATTATGCTTTCAGGCCTTGATGGGTATTCAAATTCCACATGCCTAAACTCAACTTCTCCTAAAACATTCTCCAGGATTTGGCCTTCCATATTATCTGAATCAATCTTGGGTACTCTTTTCATCACCTCCATCATTCGCTCGGCTGTTGCCATTGCTTCTGCTATGGACTTCAAGTTAGATAAACCATTTCCCAACACCCTGATCAAGAAAAACTTATTATATATCAATTTTAAATAAATACGTTAAGTATTAATTATGCAAGTTGTATCGAATCTCGATCATATAAAATGTTTTGATCCAATAACTCATAAATTGTATCATATTTTTAGGTTAAAAATGTGGTGTTCCCAAACCTTCCCCATAAATATATGTGGGAATTTGTTATGTATATGGATGATAATTTTTTGTGTAATTTTCGTATTTTCTTCCAAGTCAAAAGATAATACTTACTGGCCACCAGTGGTGATGGTGGTAGCGACGACAAACACGGTTCCTCCTTGAGCACCATGGTACATAACCATTCTAGTACCATAATATGCTACGAAAGACCAAATAGCATAAACGATGCTGTTGCTTCCAACAGCCCATCCTGTAGCCAAGCCTTGTTTTACCCCCAATTTGACTAAGCCTTCCAGGGCCGAAGAGAATTCGTTGATGGTTTTGGTTTCACCAACAAATGAATAAACAGTTCTTATAGAAGAGATTGCCTGTTCCGCAATTGTTCCAGCCTTGTTGTACTCATCTGCCATCTTCCTTGCTAAATTCATCACAGCCCTTCCACAAATCATTCCAGGAATTACCAGAAGCAGAACGGAGGGAAATATAACAATGGTTAGCCTCCATAGCAACAAGAATCCTATCACATAGCCTCCAATAAATGTAGCAGCATTGACCAAAAAGTTTGGGAGTTGTCACATTAATACTCAGAGAGTTAAAATCTTAATTGGTCAATTATTCAAAAAAGTAATCTCATATCAGAAAGCAAAACCTTTTCACTGATAACATCTTGAATGACAAAACTATCATTAGAGACGCTTGTGATGACTTCTGCGGTGCTGGTGACACGCAAATCAAAGTATTCAACATCTTGCCTTAACACTGCTTTCAAATATTTAGCTCTCATCCTTGTGGCTTGCCTTTCACCTGTTCTTGTCCAACAATATCCCTCTACCATTTCCCAAAAGTTAATTAATGTATGGACAATTGGACATTACCATCAATCTATGAAAGAAAAACAAAGTATTGAAATATTAAAGAAATAAATGATAAAATTTTTGGAACCCACCTAGGAAACCAGCAAGCAATCTTCCACAAGCTATGTACAACATAAGCACTGAATTCTGCCACCACAGTATGAAACTCCAGTTAGCCTTCTATGTTTGCAGGTCCAAGAGAAATAATAAACAAACATATATATGTAACTAGAAGAGAAGGAAAGCATGAAACCTTCTTAATCTCATGGGTGAACGACTCTATGTTATGCGTTGGTGCAGTGCCAAAACTGTTCATCACTTTACCCGTCACAAACAGCACTAAAGGTGGAGAGAATCCTTCGCCAACGGCTCCGATGAATCCCAAACCCATCAACAACATATCCACACCGTCTGATTGCATGAAAATGGACAGTACAGACCCCTTCTTTCTCTTCACCTTACTGCTTTTTTTTTCTCCCTCCATTTTCAAACAAAAACCAAAACAAACAAACAACACAACTCTTCTCTTCTGCTATGGCTTACAAAATAGACAGTATGTTAGATATTACACCTCTGCATGCATGTGGACAGGGCGCAGACTCAGAGGTCTATGTGATATTATAGTAATCGAATCTTCTTCCAAGGAAAAGTGTAATCTCATCAAATGAACATGATTGGTTACACGTTTATTACTCCATTTTTTTTCATTAAAGATTGCGAATCTTAACCGGTTCAATAATTATACACGATGCTCACGTTAGTTGAGGAAAACGAGTTTAATTAAACCTATTGTTTATTGGTTTATATGATTTAGAAGCCCTTAAATCGAGTTTGGTTAACACATTAAAAGTGAGGGACAAATTTATTTAAATATCAAGGAAGAGAAACTCCATTATTGCTTGCTGCTTTCGGTCTAATCCTCCCTTAAGTACATAATCAACTTCATGTGCTGTTCCTCGATCAGTATGTTATNTGTCGATGAGGAAGATGATGATGAAGATGATGCTGAAGAGGCCATTTCTTATCATGAAAGGCAAGATGAATTTATATTTTGTAACGTTGATCAACAAAATCAAAAAGGCGTACAAACTCTACAAACAATTGATTTGTGATTGTGCCCCTTGGTATAGTTGTATCACACACAAACCGTTCAATGTTATCAGTCGCACTCTTAGTGTAAATGAAATCATCATCATTCCATTGGGTCCTAAGCCGTTCATTCTATGTAAAATGAGTCAATTTTGGCTTGTACGTTTATATCAATATCAACGGATGGTTAAAACTGTTAACTTTGTTGCCGGAGTTTTGATCCACTTTATTTGAAGCCATGAAATGGAACAAAGGATATTCCAACTGCTCAGTGATTTGGACTTTCATTTGATCAGAAGACTGGTCAAACTGACATACATAATCTTCAGTCCAACTGACCCACGGTCTATAAAACCTAATATTTTCTCTTCTTTCATTACCTTCTTTTTTCTCACAACTGACCCACAGTCACATATGAAGAAACAGGGGTGTCTTCATGCGTTAGTCACCAAGTCTAAAGTCTCGTCGTTTGAAGACTTCTTCACACGCTCACAACCTACAAAATCATTACTAACAGTGAGAAAGGCAACCCATGTTTAATAGATTACATAATTTATGAAAACCTGTAGCTTACCAATTTGTTCTGGCTGTGAAAATAAACAGAGTTACTGTTTGCAAGAAAACTCCAATGATCAACCCCCAACATTAAACAAGTAGAGAGATCTTCAACTTACTGATACTCCTAAAGAAGTTTTGAAGCTAATCACGCATCCTATTGGGAGACCGATAATGTAGTAGGAGGCTATATTAACATAAGCAACCACTTCCAACGGCCACACCTGAAATTCCCAAAAAGAGGGTAAATTATAACTTAAAACCCAAGGTCAATGATCCCACTTGCAGGCAGAGCGTCATCCTTACTGACTTACCTGAAAGTATAGGTTGAATCCCATTCAAGAAAAGAAAACAGATATGCAAGTAGTGGAGTCTTCAGAATCAGATGTGAAGAATTTACTCGAATATTAAAACTATTGCACTGAAAACTATACTGATGAAGACGCTCGTCGTGGTCACTACTACTATCGAAAATTTTGCAACTCTGGCATGTCCTGCTCCAAGTTCATCACTCACCCGAACACGGCAGTCAGTTTGAAGACAAGGAAATGAAAATTTTGATGCAAACGATTGGAATAACTAAATCTGAAGAGTTTCACTAACCTGGATCCGTTGGCAAGGCCTAGCATAAATATGTTGAGGTAATTCATACTGAAAATACATCACATTAGAGCTACATGTAAGCGTAAAATTTGGAAAGAGCGTATGTTGAAACAGTGACACACCAAATGGAAATGGAGTCTAGTGAGATGGTACGATTAGGGAGAAGTCCAGATATAGGTACCTGTCCTTGGCGGTACCAAATCTCCAAAATGAAAATAAATAAGAAAAAGGTTTAATATGTCCAACAAAAGTAATTATATAAAATACCCAAACTAGGTAAAGACTGAGACAGACAGAGTTGAATCACAAACCAAAGCATAACAGCAGAAGCAATAGTAAGCTTGAAATAGGGCCATATTCCTCTGAACGCTTTTATAGACAAGCCAGACCAGGTTTCTTTGCAAGATGGACTTAAAACAATGTATAGACCACTTATAATAGCAAGCAGCCACCAAGAGAAACTCAGCGTGAGAGCTGCTCCTATCAGGCCATAGTCCAAGACATAAACAACAATCCATGTCAACAGCATGTGCAGCAAAAATACCCCAACAGACATATATGCCAAAGGGTTTACTATGTTCTGTGCTTGAAGGAAACGTTGCATTGGGCAGCTCAGTGAATTTGCATAAAGTTGAGGGATCAAACCGTGAGCGAAAACTTGGCCCTGCTCGGCTATGCTTTCTGATTGGCCCATTGCTTTGAGGACCGGACAATACAAACATGTGAGGAATACAGCTGCCCCCACGTGCAAGACAATTGCTCTTTTGCCAAATGATGCCAATTTCCGAATATTTCTTGGCCACATACGGTTTGAAATGCACCAGCCATGCCCAACTGTTGTTTTTTTTTTTTTTTCAAAAAAAAAAGTAGTCAAGTAAAACAAAATTTAAAAGAAAATTAAGAACATATACTTTTTACGAAGAGGACCCATTTGAGAGTTAGAAAAAGAAATGGTTTTGTTTGGAGAAACACATGTTTCTCCATTTCCTGAAAACAGAGACACGGCAGATGAGGAAGGACAAGACATATGCATCTTATTCTCCATAATCAAAATATTTGTCTGTTATGCAGAAAATTGTTTTATTTATTTTATTCCAGGATAGAAAAAAATTAATTTCAACTTTTGAAAAGCTTCAAAAACATTAATAAAACTCACACTTGGTTCCTTTCTATCAAGCAGTTAAAGACATGCACCATAATTCCATAAGCGAGACCTTGAATTCCAACACTTGCAATGGAGGCCCCGGCGAGCTCTAAAGCACCCAAATGTCCACTAAACATTAATGTCCAGTAAACATGAAAACGAAGAAGGTGAACAATCCAAACAATAACCACCATATCCAATGCAAACTCATTCCCACCCAATTGCTGCAGAGTTTTTGTTGAAGTATGAATCTTTTGTTAGAAAATTAATATGTTGCAGCATAAGAAAAGTATTGCCACGGCAGCAAGGAAGACCGGCATGACCTGAAGTGCAGTTTTAGTTTAATTAAAATTCTGTTACTTTCAATTTTCATGAATTTGAAACTTTTATTAACTGCATGTTTCAATCTGAAATGCAGTTGTTTAATGTTATCCCTTTGCAACTCTATAAAAAGGAATCCTAAGATGAATGTATTAAGGAAAAATATTGAGAGAAAATATGAAAGTGAAATTTATTGTTTTAGATTTTTCCTTCACTGAATTTAGAAGCCATAAGACTTTATTTTCTTGGCTTCTAAATTCCAACAGTTTTGATACTCAATAAAATTTTCTATTTGAATGTTGAATGTAATTCCTTACTTGGAATGAATTAGGGTAAATCATATGTTCACTTTACTTTTCTGTTTTCTTTATTGTGTGTGTTTGGCTCTGTTTTCAACACTATGTTCCTGTTGGTTTTCCTGGAGAATGCTAAGTAAGACAAAATTCAGTAAAGAGAGAGAGACAACTAGTTGAATATTGCTCTGTTTTGCATTAAAAAAACAAGGGTAATTTATACACAAACTAGTCCACTGTTTCACCTAATATTTTACAAATTTGAATTTGAACTCAGCACATTCAACTAATACACTTACAAACATATCAAATACATCACTTAACCAGACCTAATTCACCTAAACACATCATTAACGTCATTCTAAATAGTGACCAAAAAACTACTACTCCATGCACAGCAGAAGTTCAAACCGTGGCGCCAAAAACTTGCAACTCCACTTTCAGTCAACTTCATCATTTCCAGTATGATATCACATTCTTCAACAGTTCCAAAAACTCCTCGATCATTTCGGACAAGTCGGGTATCCTAGAATGCGAGTCTAACACCATTAACAATGGCTGATTCTCTGTAGACCCCCTTTCACACACACTGAACAACCTTAGCTTTAGTCTAAACGTATTACAATGAATTTAGTTGATCAATAATTGGGGCTGAGTTGACAGAAATTAAGTGCTAGATTGAGATATTTATGCGTGCAATAACTTCCAAAAATTTTAATTTAACTAATGTTCCACTTAACAATTTAGCTTGTTCAAGCCATTAAAAGAAAGGCAGGTGATGGTCTGAAGCTAACCCAGTTTTGCGTGTCACGTAATCTTGGACCAAATTTACAAGTTTTTAATTGAATTGAAACATTAAAATATTAATAATAAGGTTGGTTATACAATTGATAACATGTAACGTGGAATATTGCTACATTTGAATATAGTTTGTTCAAGTGATTTTGTGTTTTGGTCCTTTCTTAGTTCTTGTGATGTTGACATGGCTTTAATGCAAACACAAAAACCCCGTGTTGATGTTAGCAAAATTAGATCGGATCAAAACATCTTGTATAATGTTAGAGATGTTACCAACTAAAATTGGATGTACAAATCATTTCAATGTCACTAAACTTTCAATAGTAATATCTTCTTCTTCGAAGGTTGATGGTCTTGCCTATGTATCAACTCCAGCATAATCCCATCTATGTCTTTGTTAAAACTTGTGATACTTTCCTGGAAAAGTTTGCTGCTCAAAGTGTGTATTTTGGCGCCAAGTTTGAATGTGCTGGGCTGTTTTTCAAATGATGTAGCTATTTGTTTTTGAAATATTAATGTTATGTTATTAGGTAATGACAACCGGTGATTAAGGCTTCTTTTGATATAGTGTATAAGCATTAGTTAGAGTTGTATGGTTAGTATTGTATTTGCTTAAAATATTCATTGCATAGTTGTTGAAACAGTGAAATGTTTGTGTATAAAACACCCCTGTTCTATGAATGA